CTCATGTTTTCTTTTTAGAAGACAGAAAACCAGTTATTTCTATGTTAGAAACTGTTGCTGCCACAAAAGCAGAAACAATTAAGAATGATTATTATTTTATCCAGTAAAAACCACTATTTTTAAGTGATAAATGCTCATATGACACCCAAATAGACTGACAGTAAAGTTGGTGACAGATTTTAAGAAGTTGTGTGTGTGTGTGTGTGTGTGTGTGTGTGTGTGTGTGTGTGTGTTTCCCAGTGAAAAAGTAACCTACTTTACTAGGTATGGTATTTTATATACATGTTGTATCTTTATTTTATAATGAATTATGATAGATACATGCATCTCTAAACATTACATGGTTTCTCATTTAAAACAAATGAAATTTGGGACCACTGAAAATTTTTTATCACTTGATTTGAAATGTCACATATTTATGACAATTTTTAATAATATATTGTTTTAAATAATAAAGCTCAGACTAGAAATTTTTAAAAACAAATATAATTTAACTACTTTGCAGGAAACTCAATTACAAAGAACAATACTTAATCATTGAAAAATATGCAAAATATAATAGATGCCAATTTATTTTTGTCTGTGATTATTTAATTAAACCCCAGTATGATTAGTCTTCATTATTTCAAACTCAAATAATTAGTAATTTATGATAATTCAGAATTGATTGTCCTAAATCTTATCTTGATATTATTTAAAAGAGGTTAGTTCTTATAGATAAATTCATAGTAGTAAACCTGTTTCAAAGCAGCTCTCCAACTTTGAAACTGTCAACTACAAACCCCACAAAAATACATTTAAAAATTATTTTTGAAAATCTATTTTAGGATGGCTAGAGAAATGGCTTGGTGGTTAAGAATACTTACTACTTTTGCAAAGGACCCAGATTCACTCCCCAGAACTCACATGGTGGCTCACAACCATCAGTAATTCTAATTCCAAAGATCCAAACACCTCTTCTGACCACCATGGGCACCAGTAATGCACTGGTGTTTATACATATAGGCAGGCAAAACACTAATATACATAAAATAAAGATGAACAGATCTTTCAGAAATCTAGTTCAGTTGATAGAATATTTGCCTACTATGCACAATGCCTTGAGTTCAATCCTCAGCAGTATAAAATTTGATGTAGTAGTATGTGTAGGTAATCCTAACTTTTAGGAAGCAGAAAAAAATGAGATCATCCTTAGCTATATAGCCACTCCAGAGTCAGCTTGAGTTATATGAGGCCATTTCTCAAAATCTCTAAATTCTGTCTTCTACTGTCAGTAAAGTAATTCACAAGTGTCTTCTACATGACATTGGTTTATATATGGGAAAGCTAGATGCAGAGAGGAATAGGAGGAGAATTTAGCTGACTTTATTATTTTTCGTTTTGGTATTATCCACACGTAGCTTTGATATCTTGAACATGTTATTTACTACAATGTTTCTTATTTTCTCCTCCTATAAAATGAAGCATTTATAAAATTTCAAGACCCTTTGTAGCAATTTCTATGGCCTACAACATCTAAGAAAAAGTTGTTAGGCAAAATAAATAATTTTTACTATTAATTTAAATTTTTTCCTATAATTATTCTGAAGTAATCAAAATACAATAATATCAATACTAGCATTTAACTACTCTGCACAAATATTGCCCTTGCCTCTACTTCTATCACACATCAAGAATGCTTCCCTTGTGTTCCACATTTTCTAGACAGCCTTGATTCTTAACATTAAACTATAAATTTTCAACATAATTCTATTCGATCACCCATAGGGTCTTATGCAACTGCCATGGTTTTATATGACTGACTCTTCCAGTTAGGCTGTAGGAAAACCAAAACAACCAAATAGAGGGCATCAACATAATAAAACACTCTGAATATCAGTAAATGAATAATGATAGAGAACAGGGTTATAGTCACTTTGTCAGCTAACTCTGGTATAGGAGATAACAGGAAACAGTGAGTTCACAGAAAATTTAGTGAAGCATTATAATAACATTGCCTTCACTTGTTTTTATTTTAATATTTATTTCCCAGATTCAACGCTGTAATTCTAGCTCAACTGGGATTAATAGACTATATTATTAAATGTGTCTATATGCCTGAGAATTTCCATTTAAACAGATGTTTGGCCATTAGGAGGATTTGTACAGACTTCCTTAATAATACCTATTATTCATTCTTTAATCAATCATTGATTACACTTTCTGTATTTTTATTTTATATTCTGAAAATATATTTTATTTATTCAGTTTAAAAAATGCGTTATATTTTATTATTTAAATTCTAGTAATACATTGCAAGAATGCTAGTATTAATTGAGATACAATGATGAATGCTTCTTGACAAAGCATCTTAAAAATGGTATTATGTTTGTAACTCGTATACGCTGGACATTCTGACTACAACTTTGATATCTCCACTGAATGATTGCCATCCAGGAGCATTTTAAGTGTTTCTGTCTGGCGATGGTAGAGAAGAATTAAATATTTAATTATTTCTGACAACAATAAGTAAGATAGTTAAATATTCATAAAGCTATACAAATACATTTATAGCACTTATTTTACAGTGATTTATAGGAATTGAGTTCACTGGAATTCATAACAGTGTTTAATGCAGAGATGTATATATACTCACTTCTAAAGAAATTAGTGCTAAAATAATCTTGTACATAGCCTATTCTTTTATAATTCAGCTCAGAATGGGATATGCACCACAACTTACAATAACTAATTTTCACTTCCTTTTTAAAGGCACTTTATAGTACTGAGAATACAGACTTTCAGAATCAGAATAGTGTCTATCCATTTTGATCACTTAACACTTGCTACCATGAACAAGTTAGTTCATCATTCTGTCTTTATTTTACTTACCTATAGCATGAAGATAACAGTATCTACTTCATAGAGAATCTGTGAGTGTTAAATGAGTCACCAGGTGAAAAGCACTTGAATAGCAGCCATTTGATTCTGGTTATATATTAACCAGTCTCTATTCTACATCTTTCTCCATGTTGGGATATTGGTTGGCTTAATCTTGTGCAAGTCATGGGCTTACAGTCCCAATTACTCTTGAGTTCCTGTGTGCAGTTGTGCTCTCATGTCCTTCAAATACTGTTTTGATTACAGGCACACAGTCCCTCCAAATTTTAGTCTTTTCATCTCCTCTTCTATGATGATTCCTTAGCATTCGAGGGAGAGAGTGTGATATAGATATCCCATGTAGGCCTGAGCAGTCCATAGTCTCTCATCCTTTGTATGTTACCTACCTGTAGATCTCTGCTAATTATCATCTACTGCTAAAGAAACTTCTCTCAAGAAAGATGAGAGATGTACTAATATGAGTATAAAGATAAGAACTTAGAAGAGAGCTTATTGTTATATCCATTTATCAGAATAATAGGAGGACAAGGTTCTTTCCTAGGGCCTATGACCTAGCTAGCCATGGACTTTTGACCCAGTTAATGGTATCAGAGATGTACTCTATCATGTGGAGTGGGCTTTAAAATCCAATCAGAAAGTGGCTGTTACTCCTATTACTTTTGCACTATTATTGCACCAGTGGGTGTATCTCAACAGGGATCATAGCTTGATAAGACTGATTGTGACTTTTCTCACCCAGTAGCATGCATAGAAACTTCAAGGACTATGAAAGATAGCTAGTAGATATGAAAATCTGGGACAGATTTTTCCAAGTCCTATGACTCAGGTGTGTGGTGTCTTTAGCAACAAGGTCTTATTGATGAGTTCTGGAGGGTAACCAAGAGAAATGTAGTAGTATGTCACTTGGTAGAGGAGGGCTATGGGCCACACTGACAAACAATTTGAAAAGAGATAACCCATTACCTGGCACTGGACTTTATTTTTTGATAACCTATGCCCCTCCCTGTTATAGGGTAATATAGGGTAAGTCCATATATATATATACACTTCCACAGTAGTAGGTTTATATATGGCATTTTCAAAGATCTTTAGTGTTAGTTATCCTTCTCCACACTCCTCATCTACCCTCTGTTCCTATCCCTCACACCATATCCCTTCTCGTTACATTATTTTCCTTTCTCCCTTCATTCCACTTGGAGTTCCAATAGAAAGACAGAATGATATTGGTGCAGAACAATATTCAAGTTAGTAAGTACCAAAGAGCCTTTTTATGATGTCTATTCTGTACTTGTTTCTCTTTAACCAGCTATCATATAGTAACTATAGTTTACAAAACTGTCAGCATATCTACTCATACAACATATGCAAAACTATAGCCATCAATAAACATTACCTCAGAGTTGTTATACCAATACCAATATAGTCCAGATGAGAAAAGTCAATATATATTATAATCCTTCTCTTTCTTCATAGAGTATAGTCACCAAAATTATGTATTATATCAGAATGGTTATGTTATGAATTAGATAAACTAATACCTTGCTTGTTTCTACTTGAAATCAGTTTCAGACCATTTGTTTTTAAAATACATTTACTTAATTTTACTTTTAAAGTATAAGCTATATACATAATTAAAAAAACAAAACCTATATAAGGTTTACTCAAAAAGCGTCAATTTCCTCTTAATTACCTGTACTTCATTATTACTTTTCTGCTTCAAGTGTGTATCCTGATTTTTGCTTTCCTCTGTTTCTCTTTTCAAAATAAAGTTGTATACAAGAAAGTGGTTGTTTGAAATGCTTGAACAAAAAGTTTTGAAATAACTGCTTTTATATTTAATTTTTTTTAAATTCATGCCAGAACAGTTACCAAGTTCTTAATAAATGTTTTCTGTCTAAAAACTTGTATGATTTCTTCACAGGAAGAAAAAGTACACAAAGCAATATTCATCTTTTTTTTTAAACTTGGTTGAAATTGAAACAAGTTGTATAAATAAACTCAAATAATCTAAGTATTTTGAAATCCAACCTTTATTTTTACTTAGACACTCTTAGGAATCTTAACTCTGCATTTTAATAGCTGAACAGCTAACCCTTTGTTCTTCTCTTTGTTTTATTCAGTTGCTTGACAACTACAGAAGTGCTTCAAGAGGTGAAGGGGGATCTTTGGCAGTACCTATGAGAAAAATTACTAGATCTTCTGAGGTACCAGTTTGGAGATCAGCAGAGCGACCTTCTTGGGGACCTGAAGGAGGACGACTTGTCAGATTTGAAAGGGGTTATGCTGTAAATCCTGCTAGAGATCTTTCGATGATGCCTGCACAAGGCCATGCAATGATTCCTGCAAGGGGCCGTTCCATGAGTCCTGCAAGAGGCTACTCCGAGAGATGTGGTAGAGAACGTGCTCAGAGTCTTACAAGAGCATACACTAAGAGACAAGCAAGGTCAAGAACCATGAGTCCTTTCAGGTTGCATGCTGTGAGTTCTGCACAGGAAACTACTCTGCAACCAGCACAAAGATGTCCCGTGAGACGTGAAGAAGAATTTCTTCTGGGAGCTGCAGTGGGACTTACTGTGAAACCAGCAGAAAGATATGATGAAGAAACTTCTAAACTTACCAGACAATCTACCCAGTAAGTTTCTTTCAAGTAGCTTTACAATAACATGCCCAATATATATTATATCTCTAAAGTAAGGTTGGATTTTTCACATGAATACATTTATGACTGTAAGTATAAAGGTACATTATATAGGGATTATTTAAAGGACTTAAAGGAATTCAGTAAAGGAAATATTTCAAACTGTATTGTTTACTTCCACCTTTCTTTCATTTGAGGATAGTGTATGAAGTGAAAAGGAACAATATATTCGACATTTCCAGAAAAATGAAAAACATTTAAAAACAGATAAATTGATCTTCCAGAAATATAGTCATTTTATGTTTTATATCTCCATAAACAATAAGCAATAAAATCATTTCATCATCTCCTTATATTCAAAAGGCAAAAGTGGCCATACATAAAATGGTAAGATAATAGTTGAAAAAAGCTTATAGAGTTATTTAAAGTGATGTTTATCATCTCTTGAACAATATTATAAAGCTTCAGAATTCACCAAAAACATCAAGTGTCTCTAAGGGTTTTATTTTTTTCCTCCATATTGTAATATCCTATATATAAGGTACTAAATTGTGTAACATAAATCAGTGTGTTTTATTACTGTAAAATCAATGTTTTATTCATAGTTTTGTTATATGAAAAAATATTTGGCATCAAATACCACACCCCAAGGCAGATTTCTAAACCAGAATCTAGCTCTAAAACTCTATTGGAAACAAGTTTTTCCCCCTCAGGCTTTCTGTCATTTTTAGTATATGCTTTATTGAACAGTTACCAGTTTAGAGAGAAAAATACTCTTTGAAATATCAGTTCTACCTACTGAAGAACTGCAAAATATATCTGAATTAAAGCCATTTGTTATTCATTAGTATAGTAATAGGAGAGCCTTTCAGTTTTCAAGAGTAACTTTTGTTCATGTTACATTGACTTTAAAATATTAATTATTAATTATTTAAGGCTGCAAAGGCAGAGGGAGATGGGGAGATAAGTGATATCAGAATACATCATGTGAAATCCATAAAGAATCAAAGTTTAAAAATTATTAAAAGTTTTTAAAATTATCCTTAGCAAAGTGAAACTTTGTGTTTATATTTTTTCACATCTTTAATTAAAATCTAGTTATATTAAATTTCCCTTTCTCTTTCCTTCATCCAGCTCCTCCCAAGTCTCCTTCTTTGTAATCTTTCTGTGTTCCATATTGATAGCCTCTTATATATGTGTATATGTATATGCATAAATATATATGAATAATGCATATGTATGTATACATATACACATGTGTATTATATATGTATATGTTTAAAAGATACATACATGCAGGAGGGGGAGGCTATATATGTATACATGTGTATATGTGTACATGTATGTGAATATATGTGTGTGATTTGTACATATGTGTATATATGCCAAATATAGAAACAAACCTGTGCTTTGTGTGTACATGGTTTGAGGGATGATTATTTTGGTTTGGACAGACAATTAGAAAGCTCATCCCTGAGAGAGGTTACCTCTGCATCTCTCAGCAGTCATCACTTGCTTGTAGTTTCTTGTCTAATGGAGTGATTCCGAGATTTTACCCCTTCCTTGTTAATGTGAATATTTAACTGTTAGTGAAATTTCAAATGGAAAACTGATAGCTGGAAGACATGCCAAAACCAGCTTTCCAATAGAGTCAATCTAGAAATATTGACTTACCCTTCAGAACTTAATGGACATTAATTAAAACCTCACAAACTTTGACATTTTGGGTTAAATAGTAGGTACTCTTTTAGGGCTGACCATTTGTTATTGGTTAAGCAATTGGTATGCTCTCCTAGAGAAATGCAATCAGCATTCCTAAGTTGCCTAGAGCCCCCATCAACTTTGTCTGTTGTTGTCCTTATTCAACTCATGTTTAGGCAGGATGATGGTGAGGCTGTATGGGTGTAGCTTTTGACATTTCTAGGAGACACAGTCTCACAGAAAAATCACTGACCCTCTCTAGATCTTAGAATCTTTCCACTCCCTCTTCTACAATGTTCCTTGTACCTTAGGTGCAAGACTGTTTTGTAGATTTGTCTGTTCAGACTGGACTTGACAACTCTGCATTCTGATTGGTTATGATTTTCTGTAATGGTTTCTGTTTTTTACAAAGAGACATTTGTTTGATGAGGTGTGAGGACCACAGTTACCTGTGAGCATAAAGACAAACATTTAGAATGTAGTAAGAGATGGTGTTCTTTTAGTAAAGTGGTGGTTGTAGGTTCTCCTCTAAGACACATGTCTTCACCAGCCACAGACAGTTGACCAGCTTTCTTGACCAGGCATAATTTCATTCTTGTTGAGTTGGCCTTACATCTAAATCTCTGTCTTAAAGCAAAAGGTATATCTAATTACACTGTTATTCTTATTAACAAGTCAGCTAAAGTAAGATGTAGTCAGGTCTGCCCCACATTATTAGTAACATTGCAGGACCTAGACTGATGAAGTTATCCTCTCTTTAGGATATAACATTCTCATGGCAGATGCCAAGAGCATAAGAAGCCAGCTTATACAATGTGTTCATAGCTTCTGCTCAAACTTCTACTCACTTTTCACTAACTGAAGAAAATAACATGACTAAACCTAACAGACCAGAAAAAGATAGACTTGGCCTACATGGGAGGAGGAAAGGAATACTTGCTAAATCATAAATTCTGCCACAGTGTTCAACCCTACTGCAATAGTATCTACATATTGGCTATAAATATGACTTGATTTTCTCATTTCTTTATGAGATTTTTCTGTGTTGTCTTAGTTGGGGTTTCTATTGATGTGAAGAAACACCATGACCATGGCAAATCTTATAAAGGAAAAAACAGTTAATTGGAGATGGCTTAACATTTTCAGAGATTTAATACATTATAATCATGGTGTGACATGGTAGCATGAAGGACATGGTAGCATGAAGGCAAACCTGGTGCTATAGCTGAGAGTCCTACATCTTGATAGGCAGGCAACAGGAAGTGATCTAACACATGTCCTCCAATAAAACTACACCTACTCCAACAAGGCCACACCCCTAATAGTACCATTCCCTTTGGGGATCATTTTCTTTCAAAATACCACATATATCATGCCTGAATATAAGTATCACTGCAACAAGTACTCTTTAGATCCACATCATAATATACTTTTAGATGCAAATGACAATATTTTTACTTTTTCAAATATCAGGAAGTTCTTGGTAAATACTGTTGTCTAATTGCAGGCTGAATATTAAATATTCTTGTGAAATAATATCAAATATCTACAACAATTAATATGGAGTTCAGTGGCCATTTCTAATTTCTTTGACATTGCTCCATTTTTAGTAAGTTCATTACTTGATTAATTTTACTCATTATAAGTCATTTTAGACACAAGTTCAAATGAATATGTTCCTAGTAATTTCACTGTAGATTACCATATATTACTTTGTTATTTATTTGTTTTGTGGAAAATGAATTTTAATGAATAATTTTATGACTAGAGAACTATAAGATATTCAAATATTATATGAACAATAAAATGTTTTAGTTCTTATATATGTATATGTGTGTACATATATGTATATACATACATGTATAAAATATGTACTAACTTAGCAAGACACTGGGATTTTCTATATTTTTTCTAATTTTGTAATTAGAAATTGACCATGAATGTATTTCCAGGATTGTTTCCAAGGGTTGGTCTTATAAATACTTCATAACATTTTTATATTGCCATTTGAACATATTGTAGGAAACAAACGGTTAGTTGTTTCCAACTTTGAAACCATGAGAATATTCAATTTTAAACTTCTATTTAATATTTTACTGCTTATTTCTGGATTACTTTTAGTGTGATTTTAAAACTTGTCTTTTTCTTGTCTTTAGGTCTGCTTCTGATGATGATCCAAATGAAAGTGGATCCTCAATCATAATGGTAAAAATTACACAAATATCTGTGCTGTTTGAAAGTAACATTTTTACGAACATTGAAATCATCCTTCTATGTCAAGTCATATAGATTAATTTTTATCATTTCTGTTTGATGGATATTATTTATATAAATGTATAAAATAGAATTGCATGCATATATTGAACAATTTTGGAAGGATACACACAAAATTATTGTCAATGGGCAAGAGGAAAATAAACACAGTTTCACTATCTACAGTTCATACTTCTATTTTGTTTGACTAGTTTGTGTGATATTTAACTTTGTCCTTTTAATACATTTATAATTTAAAAATAAATATTTACTATGAAAATGAATATTCAAAAACATATATTATAAGCTTTGGAAATGAAGTGACCCAATTACCCAATTATATTTTCTCTTACTTTCCTATGGAGAAAATTAACACTAAAGACAAATCTTAGAGTCACAAAGCATGGCTAGACAAAGATCGGGGTTTACTTTTTTGCCTGAGCCATCTCTTGGAGTAATTACTAACACAAAGTTGACTGCGGAATGCCTGTTACTTTCTTGAAATAAAAAAAAAATAATAGAAATGTGTTCAAACAAACAAAAATATGAAACTATTACCTCACATATAATGGACCAGTGCAAATTTGTTAAGTGAAAGAAAAAATATCTAGAATTGTTAGTTTTTTCATCAACATTTGGCAGAAATACTTCATTTTAACCACAATTATTATTACATCTGATGGTAATTTCTGTTTTCTCTTACAATGACCTGTCACAGACATAATTTCATTTGCTTATTCATTCATTCATTGATTATTTTAACTTTTGTTTGGATGTGGAGGGTTTTTTTTTTCAGTGCTGGAGATTAAACATAGTGCTTTGTTCATGCTAATAAATCCTCTACTACTGAGCATCGCCCTCAGCCAGGACAGAATTTTTAATTTGCCTCACTTGAACTAAACAAATCTACCTACTCATTTCTTGTTCTCACTGAGTGAAAACAATGCTAATCATAGGGAAAGCAGGAATTTGAATTTTATTAGGTGAGTTGTATGGGATACAATTTCTTTTAAAAAAACACATATTATTTAATTTCTTCCTTCCAAGTATGTTTTAAATGAGTCTCAAGTTTTAGTAAGAATATAGGTAGTTTTTAAAAGAATTGAGTAGCACTAACTAGTTAATTGACACTTTTATTGCACCAATCTGAAAACTCAGAATTAATATCAAAGCTGGAAGTTTCAACAAATTTATACACATAAATCTGACAATTCACATAAAGTAGACTAAAACCTCAAAATATATCACTGAATTAATTTTAATTATCTTATAGTTATTACAAAAGTCCAACTTATAACTTAAAACTTTACAAAATAATATTTAGTCACATTGTTTAACTGGAATATTCAAACCAAATGTCTAAAGGAGAATTATCACCAATTAAGAATAGACTCTTTCAGAAAATAAAATTGGAAAAAATACTTCCATTTATTCTTTGAAGCTAGACTTACCTTGATACTAACTCATGCCAAAGAATGTACAAAAGCAAAATTAAACTACAGACCAATATTCCTAGAAAATGTAAGTGAAGATAAATGCAAAAATACTTGACACAATATTAGCAAATCAATAGCAATATAATAAAAATGCTACATGATCTAGTGAAATTTACTCTAGGGATACAATTCTAACTCAATATTTGAAAATTGACCACGTAATCCAAAATCATGCATATATTTAAACAAGTGTGTAAAAATATAGCAATAAAATTATATTAAATGGCCGGGCGGTGGTGGCACACGCCTTTAATCCCAGCACTCGGGAGGCAGAGGCAGGCGGATCTCCGTGAGTTCGAGGCCAGCCTGGGCTACCAAGTGAGTTCCAGGAAAGGCGCAAAGCTACACAGAGAAACCCTGTCTCGAAAAACCAAAAAATAAAAAATAAAATAAATAAATAAAATAAATTAATTAATTAATTAAATGGTGAAGGACTGAATGTTTTCCCATTAAGATAAAAAAGAAGTATCTTCTTGTTAGTCTATCATAAAATATTATTTGAATGGTAAAAGTTAGAAAATAGTGAAAGAAATAAAAGGTCTAGCTAATATAGAAATATAGTGTATTTATAAAGTTCACCACATTGTATAAATTGTTCCAAAATTAATATTCAGATTCCATATAATACTTATACCAGCTATAAATTTTGGTATCTATAGAGAATATTATAGAATATATAGTAAAGCAGAGAAATCACAATAGCCAAATCAATTTTTTATCACAATTTTTATTCATTTTTGAGAATTTCATAGAATGTGTTTTGATCATCTTCACCACCCCTAACAACTCTTTTTCCATCCAGCACCATCCCACCTCTCACCCCTCACCCTGCTGTTTCCCTTCATACCTAACTTTATGACCTTTTTTAAAAAAATCAATTATAGTTGGTGATGCCCATCTTTGATATGTGGCTTTCCAGTAGAGCTTAATCAACCTACCAAGGGCCATACCCTTAAAGAAAACTGACTCTCTCTCTCTCTCCCAATAGCTACCAATTTACAATAGCTCCTTAAATAGTGGTAGGACTGGTGTTCATCTCTAGCTGAAAGTTTTCTCTGGTCCCGCCTGGCTCCTGCAGCCCCACAGTCCTGCAGCCGTTAAGACCCAAGTAAACAAAGAGAGGCTTATATTATTTTTAAACTATGACCATGGCCAGCTTCTTGCTAGCTAGCTCTTATATCTTAAATTAACCTATTTCTACAAATCTATACTTTGCCACATGGCTTGTGGCTTACCAGTACTTTACATCTTGTTTCTCCTGGCAGTGGCTGGCAATATCTCTGTGCTCTGGCTTTCTCCTTCTTCTCTCTCTAGTTAGAATGTCCCACCTAACCTTATTCTACCTCACCATTGGCCAAACGGCTTTATTTATCAACCAATCAGAGCAACACATATTCACAGCATACAGAACAACATCACCCATAATTCATCACCCTTCTCAGTGCTAGGATTTTTCTGGCTTAAGCTTGTACAGGTCTTCTAAGTGCTGTCAGCAATTTTGAATAAAAAAAAAAGAAATTAGGAGAAATCAGCCTTCCTTTCTTCAAGACAAATGACCAAGCTATACAAAACAAAATTCCATGCCATAATGTAGAGATGTACACATAAATAGTAAAAAAAAAAAAAAAAAAAAGGAAATTCAGGGACAGTGAGGTGGCTCATCAGGTGATGGTGCCTGTTGCCACATCTGATGACATGAGTTCAATCACTGGGACCTATGTGGTAGAAGATAGTCAGCTCCCAAACTCTTTCAATCATGTGTAGTAGCATGCATGCATGTGCCAGCACAGATGCGCGTGCACGCGCGCGCGCACACACACACACACACACACACACACACACACACACACGCACAATAAATAAATAAAATGTAATAAGATAGAAAAGAAATACAGAAACTGATCTATGTAAATACATCAAAAAGAAATTCAATAAAAATGCAGTCTTTCAACAAATGGTTCTGGAGTAATTGAAAATATTTAGTAAAATTATAGGCCCAAAATAGAGACCTTGATCTAAACCTCACCCCTTTGAAATAATTCAAAGTGCACCAAAGTTCTAAATGTGAAACTTAAAAATTTTAGAAAATGGTTCTTCAGAAAAAAATAATTGGTTTGTAGAACTAGGAAAACATTTCTTAAATTGACATGTAAAGGACAATCCACACATTTGATAAACTTGATCTGTTAAAATTATAGACTGTTGTTTGATGAGGAAGATAGATTAAGGCATATCTGGAAGAAAATAATCACAATCCACAGCTGTGACATTGGACAATGATATAGAATATATAAAGCGTTACTAAAATTAGATGAGTATAAACTATCCCATGAGAAATTTAGTACTATGCAAAAGACTTTGGTAAACTTACAAGTTAAATATCCAATCGCCATAAGACCCAGCAGTTATACCTTTGGGCCTGTATATACACTAAAACTACAAATATTAATAGGTGCTTTATTCAGGATTAACAAAGCCTGAAATAATCCAGACCTTTTAATGCTCATAACATTTCAGATAAATATTAAGAGAATTATGCTAAATGTTCAAAGTTTAAATAGCTAACAGTACACTTACGTAAAATTCTCACCCAGATCAAATTACAAAAATGGAAAATACATTAGTCTCGAGTATGGAGAGAACAGGACAGAAATCAGATTGGCTGTATTTGACTATGGGAGAACAATTAGAGCAGAACCTTGTTTTGACAACTCTCTTATGTATCTTGATTATGTTGGTCCAGTGGTCTTCAACCTTCCTAATGCTGTGACCCTTTAATATAGGCCCTCATGTTGTGATGACCCACATCCATAAAATACTTTTGTTACTACTTCACAAATGTAGTTTTTCTACTGTTTTGAATCATAAAGTAAATAATGATATTTAGGATATCTGCTATGTGACCTCTGTCGGGTTCATGACCCACAGGTTGAGAATTGTTGATATGGACACACTGATTTTGATCTGATACTACAGTTGCAAAAGATGGAGAGAAATTCATAGACTCTCTGAATTGTAAAGTGAAAAAAATCAGGATTTGATGATTTGGAATGAAAGGAAGATTGTCAAGAATGACTTAATTGAGGTTTCTCATTTGTACAGAAAATGCAATAAGAGAACAATGCAGTTACTAGAATTAAGGAAGGAACCAGAAATATTTTTAATAGGAAATATTATAGTGTTTTTTAAATCATCTAGGAAGATATATTCAAAATCAAGATGGTACAGGAATAATGATGAAAAGGAAAAGCAGGAAGAGAGAGAAGAAGAGGAGGAGGAGTGGAAGAAAGGGAGGCAGGAACAGGAACAGAAGGGGAAAGGAAGAATGATGGGAGGAGAGAGTGTAGAAGGAGGGGAAGGGGAGAAGAAAGCAATAGAGTAAATGAGTGATAAAATTCCCTAAAGCACCGAAGATGGATTCCTCATTTATGTAAATGAATAATCCACATTCAGATA